GGGCATATATGAGGGGAGGCTGGGTGCTGAATTTTTAGGCCAAAGACTGATACTAACATAAATTATTTACTAACTGTAGAACTTTGGGCACATCAGTTAACCGCTCTGAGATTTACTTTCCTCATCTGTTAAATGAGAAGAACATCTGTGCTGCCTACCTCACAGGGTTGTTGTGAGGGTCAAATGAGAATGTACGTGAAAGATTTGTAAATGGTAAAGCACTATATTCTTGTTTTTTAGTTCTTTTTCCTTTCTTTTGGAAGACTTGCTGACAGATACTCTGTTGATCATTTACTTTCTTTCCTTACTGGTAGATTGCCATTTTAAAGAAGTGTTCCTATTTCACATATTCTATCTCTAGTGTTAGAGGACTTGTCTTTATTCTGAGAATAAAGGGCTGAGCATACACAAGGCCCTGGATTCAATCTCCAGCACTGCAAATTTAACCAACTAACCACATCCAGTGAAAGCTGGTGTAACCAGCAAAGGCACTGACACTTGCTGAAAACTGTGACTAAACCAATCATAAGGACATTGAAATCAGTCATGATTACAGGAATGTGGCAATCGTCTGTCTCTTCTAGTCACCAGTTTGTTTTTGGAGGCCTGTCAGGTAGTACTGGAACATTCATTTGGATAGATTTTGTTTCTTTTTTACCAATTTGAGTGCCTCCTACATGGACAATATATAAACAATTACAGGGTGGGTTACAATATGCTAAGAACCATAATAATAATAAAAGACGAACCCATAAAGGTTTTGGAAGGGAAGAAGGACCTGGCTTCTTAAGCGGTTGATATGGCAGTTCCTTTCTGGCTACAGACAAGAGAAAAAAAATTTTTTTTCCTGGAAGCCAACCCTCATTTGCTTTTTTCTCATTAGACTAGTGTTAATATTTATGTCACTAAGTCAGTAACTCTCTCTTGAACCATCCTTTTAGGCAGAAAGGCAACATATAGGTTAGCTAGTCACGCTTTAGGTGGAACTGACCTGCGTTAACAGCTGTACCAGCTAGTGATATTCACGGTCAACCTGGCTTCTGGAGGGGCCCTTCAACATTTCTTATCAAGCATTTGAGTGAAAACTATATATAACAAGATGCTCGATGGATTAGAAAATGGATCTCATCAGTTAAGTTTCTGCTGCACTTCAGCTGCCTTACCTATAAAATATAGATTTCACATCTTGCCTACCTCACAAGATTATTGTAAGGATCAAATGAAATATAATTGATGTAAAAATGCCTTGCAAAATATGAAGGACTCCAGATAGGGCAGATGATAGTAATGCCAAATCTCAAGTGCCACAAAATCAGGGCTGGTAGGTAGTCTATTTTGGAACAAGTTTTAAAATGATTTATCAACTTAGAATACACAAACTGCTGGGCCTAACTAGTTGCAATATCAAGATTTATATTTATGTTAAAAATGCAGTTTACTAAAAGGTTAGGCAGTAGGATTGCTGACAAGAGTACTAATTCCAGTGATTATCAGTGTGAACCACTTGTACTCCAAGATACTTTAAAAACATTCCATTAGAGTATTAGAAGAAATATTGTCTAGGTTCTAAATAGTTATCTTGAAGGCTGTATTGGTTAGTATTGCTCTGTGGGTGCCAAACATTTGAAAGATGTTGACAAGTTTGAATGCAGTTAATGGAAGGGGATTTGCAAATATTAAGTCTGTATTGTCCCATGTGGAGGCCACTAGCTACATGTGGACACTGAGTAAAAATTCAATTCTTTAGTCACACTAGCAACATTTCTAGTCTATATTCTTGGCTACCATATTGAAGACTACAGATACAGAAAATTTCTGTCATCACAGAAAGTTCTATTGACCAGCATTATAGAAGAAATAGTTGCAGGAACTGAAGATGTTTAGTGTGGAACAGAGAAGACCTTCCTTGGGTAATGAAAACTGCAATTTAATATTTGAAGGACTTTTATGAAAAAGATTAAGATAACTTATTTTGTTGTATTTGTGACTGTTGGCTTGAATAAGAAAGTTTTTAAACAGAACTAGCACAGTGGGATTATCTGCCTTTTAAGATGGTTAGTTTTTCTTCTTTCTTCAACTATAGTTGGCCCTCTCTAAGGTTTTGCATCTGTGGACTCAACCAACCATGGATCAAAGATACTTTGGGAAAATTGTGTTTGTATTGAACATGTACAGACTTTTGCATCTTATTATTCCCTATATAATAACAGTAAATTATTTACATAGCATCTCATTGTATTAGGTATATAAACAGTGTAGAGATAAAGAGTATATAGCAGAAGGATGTACATTTACTGGGTCATTTTACTTAAGGGACTTGAGTATTCTCCAGTCTGGGTTCTGGAAGCAAACCCCCATGAACACCCAACGACAACTGTACTTAAATGCATTCTGCCAAGTGTGGCGCACATCTGTCATCTCAGCCTTTAGGAAGCTAAGGTAGGAGGATCTCCACAATTCGAAGGTAGCCTGGACTACATAGTGAGTTCAAATCCTGCTTGAACTACACAGCAAGACCCTGGCTCAACCCCCCCTCCCCCCATGAAGTATTAAGCACATTCTGCAACTCTGCCAATCAGATATAAGGGTTGGAACAGATGACCTCTAAGGGTGTGTCCTGCCTTTAACTTCTAGTTTCATGCACAAAGTCCCAGGCCTGCACGAGTGTACTTCCCCTTCATAATCCAGCAGCCTCCTTAGAAGACCAGGACCATTACTATCTTGCCTTTTTAAAAAAACGTATGAGACTGCTGTACCGACGGTCCTCTTGTCACACTCCCAGTTCTAGAGACAAGGGTGAAAATCCCTCTAGCTTTCTCAAACATTTGGTAAGCATTTGGTTTGCTTTCACTATTCAGTCCTTTGGTCTGTAATCTGAAGGAGATCATAAAAAAATGCAATGTTTTATGGGAGGATTGAATTACTGGAGAATTAGACTTTGCCTAGGTGGGAAGAAAGGGACATTGAGTGCTGATGAGTTTGAAGTGGCACTAGTATTCACTATCAGCGATTTGCTGAAAGAAGATAGGATGTTCCAGCTTGGCTGCATTGGCTTTCCTGTCTGGGTCCAGCTACCTGCCAGAACAAGCTATTACACTGACCCTTGGCTACCTTTGCCCTCGACTGGCTGCTCCTCCACATCTTCCTATGTCCCAACCGTATCCCTCCTTCTGGATCTATTCAGACGCCACCTCCTTACAGATTTTCTTTCCCTGTTAATTCCCAAGCATTTCATCTGTGCCTAAAGCTTTCCCATATAATATCTTGTACCAAGGCTACTTACGCAGAGGTCCGATCTCTGTTAATCCAAGCAATTTGACGGTAGGCAGAGTCTGAGTTGGTTCCAGTTTTGTCCACCTTATTAGCTACCCAGGACATCGCAGGCAGCAATAAATATTGGTTGGGCGAGCACCACGGTAGGAACTGGACAATCACCTCTTCCCCCAACTGCCCAGAGAGCATCTCTCCTTGCAGTGCTCTTGGGAACAGGAAAGAGGAAGGGAAGCATCGGCGAGCAAGGAGCGTGCGGGAAGGACAGCGGTGCGCTAAAGCTGGGCCGGGGCCGGAGCGCCGAGAGAGGCGCGGCCGAGCCGCCCTCCTCGTGACTCCTCCTCCCCCCTCAGCGGCCTCGGGTCAGGTGACTCTGGGCACGTGACGGTGCACCACCTAGCCTGCTGCCTCCGAGTGGCAGCTAGGACAGCCAATGAGGGGCCGGGCTCCGGCTCGGGGCCTATCAGGGCTGGGTTGGGGGGCGGGCCAGACCGCGGCGGTGGTCGGGGGCGGTGGCAGCGGCGGCCTGGGGAGGCGGCGGCCTGGCCTGGCCTGGCCTGTCAAGGTGCGGGCGACGGCGGTCCAGCACCATGTCCCTGCAGTACGGGGCTGAGGAGACGCCTCTCGCCGGCAGTTACGGCGCGGCCGATTCGTTTCCAAAGGACTTCGGCTACGGCGTGGAGGAGGAGGAAGAGGAGGCGGCGGCGGCGGGCGGCGGCGTTGGGGCGGGGGCCGGCGGAGGCTGCGGCCCTGGGGGCGCTGACAGCTCCAAGCCCAGGATTCTGCTCATGGGGCTGCGGCGCAGCGGCAAGTCGTCCATCCAGAAGGTGAGCGGGGCCGCACCTGCCCTTCCGCCCCCTCCGCCCGGTACCCTCCTGTCTTCTCCCCTTGTGGGACTCAAGTGCCTGCGGCGCGGAGGCCCGGCGAGGGCGGCGGCCGCCTGTCCCCGCCTGGGTCCCGGCGCGCTTCCCTTTCTCCCCGCGAGCGCAGAGCCGAGGCGCGGCCCGCGCGGCGACCCCGACCTCTACCCGAGGTCAGCTGAGGCCCAGTGGGTCCCAGAAGGCGAAACTGGCTGGAGGGAAGGTGTCCAGGGCACCGCCCTAGCCCTCTGCCCCCTGGGACCCGGCCCCAGTGGCATCGATGGACGAAACCGAGACTTATTCACCTGTTCTCACTTGGGAGAGCGTGGTGGACTCCCTCTCCAGCCCATTTTCGCTCAGGTGACCCGAGTTTGCAGGAGTTCCCAGCCGAGCCCTGGGGAGCAGTGTCAGAAAGAGTTGTCCCTCAGGCACTGGGCGTTTTAATACTTTTCTTAGTAGTCTGAAGGAGACTTCATTTTTATGTTATTGGGAATTACTACTGCATCTGTTTTAGTACTTGTTGACCTGGTGAGTGTAGTTACTGGTGACAAGGGGACCTGTAGGTTGTGTGGTTAGGAAAATCTGCAGAAACTTGGAGAATGTTTTGCAGAGAGACATCAGTCCACTTGGGTCGGTCAAGTAGGAACTAAAGGTTGTGTCCTTTCAAAAAGAAAAGCGGCCATAGAGGCAGGGTTTACTTCTTCCATCCCCATTACACATAGAGAGAGCTTCTAATTGAATTGGTTCTTTCCACTTTTCTACTCCGTTGCAGAGGTCTTCCAAAAATATATCTGTGTAGTATTTTGTAGATGTGATGTTTGAAAAAAAGTAGCTTTCTTCCAAATCTGCTGAATTACTGTGTTTTATTTACCTTGCTCTTCACCTCTGCAGCAAGATTTATAGATGTTTATGGTAGGTTTTTAGCAAATTGATTCTGGTTCTCATTTGTTACCTCACTGACAAAATCTTGGGAGTAACAGGGTTTTTTCTTCTACAAAGTAACAGTGAGAGGCAAATTAGTTTCATGTCAGGATTGTATGGATTGTTAGTTTTGGGTTCTTAATTGCCTTTACCATATCTTTTCTCATGGGAGCTGCCTAGTTCTGTTAACTCCCATAGGCCCCCCTCCTCTTTGGATGTTTTCACTTTCTGTTTGGTTTATTACTGTCCTTGTTTTATTCCACAAGACTGTAAATGCATTTTAGGCAGGAATCCAGTCCATTTTAGGGCCTGAGGTAGGCATTCAAGTAATTTTTGAATGAACAAAATTTTTTAAGCTATGAAATGTTAATAATCTAAAAGTGGATTTTGTCAAGTTTAAATCCATGGCAAGTAAAACAAGAAAATGTAGGTGAGAGACTGTGATACAACTAATTCTGAATGATGCAGAGAAAATAGTCAAAAAGTTTCAGCTTCAAAATAGACCGAATGCAAATTAATTTGCTGTCTTCTTTCATCAGGAATAAAATGGATGTAGCATTCAGTTTTTCCTGAAATTTAAAAAATATTGGATCAGTTATTTTAAAAGCTAATGGAGCATGGAATTTTGAATTTAAATTCTGAAATTGAAGTGTCATAAAATTGTCTTTATTTTCTTCAACAGGTGGTGTTCCATAAGATGTCACCCAATGAGACACTCTTTTTGGAAAGTACCAACAAGATTTATAAAGATGACATTTCCAATAGCTCCTTTGTGAATTTCCAGATTTGGGATTTTCCTGGGCAGATGGACTTTTTTGACCCAACCTTTGACTACGAGATGATCTTCAGGGGAACAGGAGCATTGATATATGTTATTGATGCACAGGTAGTTAGAAATAATTACTTCTCTTCCACGATGGCAAAAAAGATGTAGGACAAAGGAAAGTTGTTTTATTTTTCATGTCATGTGCCTGTAGCTTATTTCTTTGCCAGTAGATTCTGTAGCAGTGTAAGACATGCAGTTGCAGAGGTGCTTTGGGAGCCTGTGTGTCATTGTGCAATTCCACAGTATCAGATGGTTGCAAGATGTGGTTTACATCCTTGAGTCCTAGTTAATGAGCAGTTAGCATTGGCTTTCTACTTACGTTGGTTAGTAGATACTGCTGTATTTAGTAACTGTAACTGTACTGACTTTGATCACTAAAAAGATCCCATAATATAAGTGCCCATAATGTAAAAAAGAATACGAGAAAGACTGAGTCAATATATATTAAAGTGAATAGTTTTTATTCAAGCAAAAACAAATTTAGTCCAACAAGAATTTATTGTGATTCTGCCCTGTGGCAGGCAGTTAGCTGAATGGGGCATGTTCCTGTCTGTAAGAAGCTTACTTTAAATAAGCTTAAACATTAGTTACGCGTGCTGAGTGATAGGCTCCATGGGTGCTTTCACATACATGAGCTCTTTTAATCTTTACAATATTGTGAGGTAGGTATGGTAATTCCAGTTTTATAGATGTGTAAACTGAGATCACAAGAGTTTAAGCAACTTGCTTAAAGCCACACACAACTTATAAATGGCAGAGCTGGGATTACTTTGAAAAATTCTATTGGGAAGAAACGTCCATTGTCTTTTTCCTTGCTTTTATTATTGGTATTAAAAAATCACAGGCATTAACTTAAAATTGAATTTTTTAGCTTAAGAAATTGAAGAGCTAGTTAAGTTGGTATATCTGAATATTTGAGTGTTTATGAATAATTAGGATAATTATTCATGTGGTTGGGGAAAAGGTGGTTTGAGGCTTTCTTAACTCATTACTTGCCTTTTGTAAGATTTCTTTTTAAAAATATTTTGTTCTGACTTACAGGATGACTACATGGAGGCTTTAACAAGACTTCACATTACTGTTTCTAAAGCCTACAAAGTTAACCCAGACATGAATTTTGAGGTTTTTATTCACAAAGTTGATGGTCTGTCTGATGATCACAAAATAGAAACACAGAGGGACATTCATCAAAGGGCCAATGATGACCTTGCAGATGCTGGGCTAGAAAAACTCCATCTTAGGTAACAACATGTGTGTTTGATATGAGAGCCCTGAAAAAACAACATGTGTGTTTGATACGAAAGCCCTGTAAATGTATTCCCATCTCTGTCATTACAAACACTGTAGCGTTCTGTTACTTGTAATGTTTTTGATCTCCAAGCTATTTATGGCATGTAGTATTATTGAGAAGTTACTTTTTCCCCCTTTTCATTTTCCTGAAGACTGAAGTCATGTGAAATGTTTTCATTGGTGTTTTTTTGCAAATTCATCCCAAGAGACTGGAGTCAGGCTGTTTCCTCACAGCATAAATCTGCTTTGGGACTTCCCTCCTCTTGGTTTCGTCACCTTCCCTCCTCTACCCCCTTTGCCTTAGTGCAAGAATCTGTCACATTTGTTGAATTCTAGCTTGAGTCTTCACAGTATCTTTCTCCATCATAAGAGCCTTTGAAAGGAGGTACATGTTCAATTCTGGACTGATTCTAATGTCTCTTAGTTTTAAAAACGTTTTATACTTTTATGAAACTCTGAGGTTTGGGTTAGGTCAATTTATCCTATAAATTTGCACAGTGCTGCTGTTAAGTTTAGAAGACTGCCGGTTTATAATTAAATGTTAAGAAATAACTGTTAAAGAACGTCTAATAGGATTGATGATGGTGTTTTTGTTCTAAAGGTATATGAGGAATATTTTTGTACGTCTTACCTTTTTTTGGGTATGTAGGCAGAAATGAGTACTTATAAATACCCAAGAAAATGTTCTCAATGATACAAGCAGTGTAAAGGGAAAGCAGTGGAGAGCAACAGTGTAGTGATTTCCTTTTTCTTTGTCTATTACAGTAGTTTCTCTATAGGCTCAAGCCAACTCTCTTCCTGTCCCTAATACTCCCCAGTCTTCAGGCTCTAAAATCTTAATTATTCTTTTAGTAAATTATGTAGAAAAGTCTCATTGACCTCTAGATTGCTTGGATTAAAATTTTAAAATATTTACAGATAATTCATGCTTAAAAAAGAAACCTAAAATCCATCATTGTTTGTAAAAGTGCCTCCCTATAAAATCTCCCAATCTTTTCAGATATTAACTATTAATTTTGGAACTTCTTATTCTCTTTGCTCCATGCCTGTGTCCCATTCCAGGCCACCCCAGGGCCCAATGCCTTGTTAACTTCAGCAGAATGTTGTGTCAGGCTTTAATTTTAAAATTATTTATTTATTTATTTCTTGGTGTGTGTATTGTGCTGGGGATCGAACCCAAGGCCTTCATGCATGCAAGGCAAGTATTTTCCCACTAAGCTACACCTGCCTGTATCATGCTTTTATTTAGTATTAGTAGGTCTGTGGATGAGGCTCTGTTTGATTTCCAGTTTCTAGAAACTCAGCTTTGTAAAATGCCTTGTGAGAATGCAGGTCTCCCTGTCCCCACCCATCTACAAAGGGAGGACTGTGCTTACTTTAACTAACCTTTTTGCCTAAAGGAAATGCTATACAATGTTCCTTTCTCCCTTGTGCTTGTGGGATCATTTGTCCTTACCTGCTCCAGTGTTTTCACATGTGGAGCAGTGCCTTTTTTTTTTTTTTTTTGCATGGAATTACATTAAGTCAGTTCCTTGAAAGTGTAAATTTATAGAGTGGTAAACATAATTCTTTATCTCTGACTTGAAATATGTATAAATGTATCATGAGTCTAATTACATAATTAAGATTACTCCTGAGTGAAAAAGCAGGTAGAATTGTCTGCAGTGTTAAAATTGTCAGAGGCCCATCTCTTTCAAGTACGTGTTGTTTTTTTTTTTTGGTACTGGGGATCAAACTCAGAACCTTGCACTTGCAAGGCAGGCGGCGGAACTACTGAGCTAAATCCCTGGCCCCATTAAATACATGTTTTATTAAATCTATATGTCTTCTGCTGTATATCCTTTTAGTTTGGCAGACTCGTTTTCCGCAGGGCTCTAGCTTCCATCACCCTCATTATTCTATTTACCTAAATCTAAGCACTAGTTGTATTTGTTTGCTTATGAGGAGATATAGTACTCATGAACACTGTTCAGGGCTTTGAGCTTGTACCTGTGAGCAAGACTGACAAAGTCTCTTTCCTCACGAAGCAGACATTCTGATGAATAACAGGTCAAAAGCACAAACAGCTGTCTGGTGCAATTTTAAGGACTTACCAATCCTATGAAGAAAAAATAGGATAAAAGGGTAGAAAGTATCAGTTACAGGATTTTTATTGTAGATAGGCCAGTCATAAAAGAACTTTTTAAGGAGGTGGTATTTTAGTAGAAACCTGAATTATATTCTTTAATAAATACCACCTATCTCTTCTAGCTTTTCCTTGGGTTTTAATCTTGGTTTTTATCTCAGGTGCTTAAGAAACCAAGCTTTAGGGATCAGGTTGCAAGGAGTTAGGCAAACATTCAGATTTCTGCATCTGGAAGTGCTTTCCTGGGTGCTGGCTCAGTTGTCCTCTGTGGAAATGCAGTAAAGCAAGTGATTGCCACAGGCCAGGTGCGAAACTGCACTTGTAATCTGGAACAGTGGGGATGGCTTTATTTAAATCACATTGTATGTATTATGATAATTGTCACCGAGCTTAACCACTTAACAGTGTACCAAAAGCACACGGTGCGTGTGTTATGTGCTGACTATCCCAAGCGTCAGTCAGGTGTCATTTCAACCACTTGATTCTTGTATTGGATAAATTTGATAAAATTTTCATTTTTGTATTTTCTGTTATAGTATCTCATAAAAATTAATGAAAAAATATGCAATTTTTGGTCATTCTGTATTTAAATAATTGGACTGGTAAGTGGTTAAGGTATTTTCTAAATTAATCATACTGTGTTGTATTTTTCAGCTTTTATTTGACTAGTATCTATGACCACTCAATATTTGAAGCCTTTAGTAAGGTGGTGCAGAAACTCATTCCACAGCTGCCAACCTTGGAAAACCTATTAAATATCTTTATATCAGTAAGTGAGCTACTTAATTCATTGTAGTTTATGTTTTCATTGTTAAATATATTTGTGTTTCCAGATTCTCACAAAGCTGGGGCTTGAATTAGCTTAAGTAACATGCAAATAAATAACAAGGGCATAGGCTGCGGATTTAGCTCAGTGGTGCTGCTGCCTGCCTTGCAAGCGCAAGGTCCCGAGTTTGGTCCCCAGTACCCAATAACAAGGGCATAAAATATGGCTTGGGTTATTTTCTGAATTCTTAGTACTTATCTTCCCTTTTGTCTTTAATGAACTCTTGAAAAATTTCCTTGTGCTTTCTTAATTTAAAATATCTTCATGATACCTGTTTCCTGAATAAAGAGTAGTAATTAGAAAAGACTAAGTCTTGGGAATGTAGCTGAGTTTAATATAAACCTCCTCTTCCTTGGAGGACATATTGAGAAATTTTCCTTTCCTTGCTAACTATAATTTTAGTATCATATGTTGCATTCTTTCTTTGAGAATCCAGCTTAAGAAAAAAGGATAGTTCCCCCCAGTCAATTCAACATGTATCTGTTATATTTTCCAAATATTACTTTGGAAGGACTCAATGTGTGGTGACCCCACTCTGACTCTTAGGGTTTTGGGTTATGCTAGATGTTGACATCGAACTGTTTTGTTAATTGCTCACATAAAGACTTTCTGGTAGCATGGTCATTAAAACCAGAGATTGATTATGGTAATAAACATTAAAAATGTTGCACAGCTTAGCCTGATTCCCACCCACCCCTTGCTCCCACTAGGGATTGAACCCAGGGCTTTGCACTTAGCTACACCACCAACCTTTTTTCTTTTTCTTTTCTTTTAATTTTGAGACAAGGTTCTGCTGAATTGCTAAGTCCAAGCTGGCCTTGAACTTGTGATCCTCTCGCCTCAGCCTCCCAGAGTGCTGGCATTTCAGGCATGCATCACCATGTCTGGCTGTATAGCGATTTTTGGAGAATTTTTTTGTTAAGTTTTTGGTGATGTCTTAGGAGATTAAGCAAAAAGGAGAAGGAAAGACGGTTATGCAATTAGGGCAGAGAAATGGAAGCAGAGAAATACCCATTTTTTATTTTTTGGATAATAGAAGTGTTTCTCAACCAGATATTATTTGTGTTGTGGCATTGGGTTGTATAATTAGATATGACCATGAATTTTAGTAAACTGCAAATTGTGATTCTTAAAAGAAACTGAATACTTCCTAATTTTGTTTTTCCAAGAATTCAGGTATTGAAAAAGCTTTTCTCTTTGATGTTGTCAGCAAAATCTACATTGCAACAGACAGCTCCCCTGTGGATATGCAGTCTTATGAACTTTGCTGTGACATGATTGATGTTGTAATTGATGTGTCTTGTATATATGGGTAAGTTATATATATATATATGTTTTTGTAAGAATTTCAATAAGCATTTTTGCCTGAAAATCATAAAAACTGTTGAAACAGATAAGCTGGATGTGGTGGCTCACAGGCCTATAACAGTTCAAGGCCAGCCTGGGGTACACAGTGAGACCTGTCTCAACAAAACAAAACAAAAAAACCAAAAGTGAAAACATGAACCTAAATGCTTTAAAAATTGTTTTTTTTTTTTTTTTTTTTTTTTTTTTTTTTTTTGGTACTGGGGATCAAACTCAGGACCTTGGGCTTGCGAGGCAGGCGCGGTGCCACTGAGCTAAATCCTCAGCCCTAAAACTCTTTTTGAGTAGGTTTTTTAAGGTCATTAGTATATTTTTAATTCTTCATTTTATGAATCACCAAAAGCAAATCTTCCTAATCATACTTTGGATAGAACTTTTTTAGTACTGCGGATTACATTCAGGGACTCTGGTATACTAGGCAAGCGCTGTTCCACTGATCTACATCCCCAGCTCCAGAATGTACCTTTCTTACTTCTTTCTGCTAGTGTGTGATTCTAGATCATCTTCTGGCTTAACATGAGAAGATTTGCAGCTTCTTATGGCTGCTGGTTGTGGGTACATAGCAGTGATGGTGAACCTTTTAGAGCTTTTAGTAATACAGCCAGTCTACTGTGGCATGTGTGCTATAGGCTTGCTGCCACTCCCTTATGAAGTCATTGTCTGTGTCAGAGCCTCTTGTCAGAGTTAGTGCCCATTCTCAATTTCCATGCCGCACAGAAAATTATTTACTTGGTGTCTAACTATAAGTTGAGAACATTTAGCACTTACGACTTCCTCTCCTTCAATCAAAAGGAAGTAGTTTTCTTTCTTCCTTTTTTTGTGGTGCTGGGGGATTGAACTCAGGACCTGGTGCATGCTAGACAAGTGCTCTCCCACAGAGCTACATCCCACCCTGGAAATAGTTTTTCTTTTATAGTCTTGAAATAGATGACATTTATTTCCCTATTACTGCCTTCCTAAATCAACTTTATTAATACTGTATAGGAAAGATACTAGAAACTGCAAGGAGTTAAGTTAAAACCCTGTGTTTGAGCCCTGACTTTACAAGGAGGCCACTTTTACTTTTTGTTTTTTGGTACCAGCGATTGAACTCGGGACCTTACACTTGCAAGGCAGGTAGTGGGGCCACTAAGCTAAATCCCCAGCCCGCCACTTTACTTTTAATAAATGTCAGTGTCTATATATTTAAAATGACCATAGTCTTATTTGTATTTATTTAATTTACTTTGACTTACTTTAGAAAGGAGTTAAAGTGGCTAAATAGGGCTATAGTAGCAATTCCTGTTCTCTGAGTTATTGTGAAGGTTAAATTAATGTATGAGAAGGTAAACTAAGATTCAGAATAGTTTTAAAACTCTTTTCATGAAAACATAGTAAAGTGAAAACAGGAGAAGGAAAAAGCATTCTACTACTGAAGATAACTACTGTTAACATTTTCTTTTAAAAATATTTCCTTCAAAAAAATATTTCCTTCAGCTTATTTGAAGACAGATACTGTTTTGAAAAAAAAAAGAATTCTTACAACTTCTAGCAATAGCTAGACGACTTAGACTTTTGCTAAGCAGGCATGTTAGAAAAGATTTAGGAATCAGGCATGTGTGGTAGCACACGCCTGTAATCCCATCACTCAAGAGGCTGAGGCAGGAAGACTGCTGTGAGTTCCAGGCCAGCCTGGACTACATAGCAAGATCTTGTCTCAAAAGCAAAAAAACAGGGCCGGGGATTTAGCTCAGTGGCACCGAGCCTGCTTCGCCTGAGTTTGATCCCCAGTACCAAAACCAAAAAACAACCACCCCCAAAAAACTCTTAGAACCCATCTCTTTAAAAGTTGTTGATTTCAACCTAATTCCCTTTGGTGTCTATCTGGGACTGTTCTTGTGTAGTCCAAGAATTTTCTTGCTTTTGTGAGGAAACAAAAAGAAAGCTTTTTTGAGAAAAAATGTGATAACCTTGGCATGTCAATTATTCCTTGAAGAAACTTGCTGTGGTGGTGGCAGGTCTAAGAGGGACCTACAGAATACAACACTTATAATCCCACCACTCAGGCTGAGGCAGGAGGTATACAAGTTCAAGGCCAGCCAGGGCTACATAAGGAGGTCAGGCCAGATTGGACTACAGAAGTAAGACCCGGGGGGGGTAGGGCTGGGGGAATACACTCTGACACTCTGAGTAGCCCTATCTGGCAGGATGTTGGGAATGTAATTTCCTTGGTGAAGATCTACATGTATTTTTGCCTTTTTTCTCCAAATGTCTGATTATAATAGTAATGGATATGTGTGGAACTTTTGGTTGTCTTTAATAAGAATTCTTGAGATTCTGTGTTTGGGGATTCTATACCTAAATGACAACTATGTTCCAATGTATTTAAGCCAATAGTTTGCTTTCTCAGAAGAAATTTAGGAATCTAAATGGAAAGACTTGTCATTGGGCAAATTAAATGTGCCAAAATGCCTTGCTGGGAAACCTGTAATGAATAGTACTTTCTTTTAAAATAGGTTAAAGGAAGATGGAAGTGGAAGTGCTTATGATAAAGAATCTATGGCAATTATCAAGCTGAATAATACAACTGTCCTTTATTTAAAGGAGGTGACTAAATTTTTGGCATTGGTCTGCATTCTTAGGGAAGAGAGTTTTGAACGGAAAGGTAATGACATATAAAAAAAGCTGGGTTTTTTTTGGTACCAGGGATTGAACTTGGGACCTTCCACTTTCGAGGCAGGCGGAGGCACCACTGAGCTAAATCCCTGGCTAAAAAAGCTGTTTTTATGTCACATTCTTTGTTATAATTTCTCAGCGTCTCAAAAACAATAAAAAATAATATTGTAGTGTTAGATAAGTGGTTATCTTAAAAAATCAGCTCAAATGACTTTTGCTCCTTCCCTTCTATATATAGTTCATACTATCTCTCTCCTTCCTTTAAATCAAGTTTTTTACTCCAGCTTCTTTTACTTCAGATCGTTTTCATTAGCTTGATAGCTGCCTTTGATTTTCTTCCATTTGAACCAGTTTACAGACTGTTTGAAAGGTAACCAGGTTACCTTCTTGCTCCATTCAGTGGCCTTTTCTCATTGTGTGGCCTCTTCAGCTTTCTGAAGCATGTGACCATGTCATCTGCTTCTTTCTCAAAGCTTCTTTCCCTTGTGCTTCCCTCCAGCTGAACTCTCTGGGTTATTTTGTGTGTTTCTCTGACTGCCTCTCCACTTTCCTCTGGCATCGTTTTTTCTCAGTCCTGTGTTCTTCAAAGTCAGGTCTTTTCTGCTTGCTGCTTCACTTTAACTTTCTAGGTCAGCTTATCTAGTCAGTGGTTTTGCTTAATCTTCTATGGGTGATTGAAAATTCACATCTCTAGTTCTTAGTTCCCATTCTATGTTTGGAGCACTTAGTATGACATTTTCACTTAAATATGTGTCTTTGGTTGATGGTCATATGAGATCTTGGTATGTTGCCCAGGATGGCCTCTGACTGCTAGGCTTAAGCAGTCTTTCTGTCTCACCTTCCAGGGTAGCTGAGAGTATAGGTATGTGTCACATGTCTGACTCATAGAGGTCAGTTTCTATAGTTGAATTGGCCTAATTTGTTTTTATATATATAATTTTTTCCTTCTTTTGGCAGTGGTAGGGATTGAACCCAGGGCCTCAATAATGCTAAGCAGGCACTTAGGTATATTCTCAGCCCTGTGTAGTTTTTTCTTTCTTAATATGAAGGACCACCTTAATTTGACTTATTCAGTAGACTTGACTCTCAGTACTTCTCAACAACAGTTCTCAGATAGTCATTTCATCAGTCAACCCAGTTTCCTGTCTTCCACCTGTGCTGTGTGCTCACTGCCATCTCTCTGCAGTTTTCTTGTCATTTGCTACCTTGACTGCTTTGCCTTGCCCCTGGGTCTCCCTTCTTGGACTCCTCTCACATTTGTAGCCACTCAATACCAGATTGTTTTGATTTGTGTCTGTATTGGCTTTATGCCCCTGCTAGCCTGTCCTTGAAGATATTGGCCATATCTGTTGCTTCTTTCTATGCATTGTACCCTCTTATGCTGTTCCATAAGTGTTTAATGACCTTCACAGAATCAAATATAAATTATTGAAAGGTCATATTATGTTCCATCAGGACACAAGTATATTTTAATATTTTACTTTATCTGAATGTGGATTTAGTGATTTCAAACTTCAGTGTGAAAGGTATTAATTTGGCCAAGACGGTGGTCACATTACACATTTGTTGTATACATGAGAGGATGTAATGGATATGATGTAATGTATGTAATATATGTAATAGATACGATGACTAGCTGGCTCTTAGGATTGAAGAGGTTGCTATTTGGTTTGGACTTTTAAGAATTTCAAGCAGTATTTATCAGTCAGGGTTAGGCTTGGCTACAAACCCAAATAACCATGGCTTAAACAAATGGAAGTTTATATCATTTCTTTTTCACATTTAAAGAAATGTAGAGGCAGACATTCTTTTTTTTTTTTTTTTTTGAGGTAGACGTTCTTAATCGAGCTAAGGCAGCTCCCTGGTATCTTCTGTAGGTGCTTCACTTCCTGCTCTGCTGTTCTTAGCTCTGGCTTCTATTCTCAAGGTTGCTTCATGGTCCAGAATGGTTCCTGGAACTCCACCCTTCTTATCTGTATTCCAGATGTTAAAAAAGAAGATAGATTCTTTCAGGGATGGAAGAAGGAATACATCCTTGTAAGCTTAAGAGTTTATACCAGGTGTGGTGGTATATGCCTGTGATCCCAGCACTTAGGAGGCTGAGGCAGGAGGATGACTGTAAGCTGGAGGCCAGCCTGGGCTACATAGTGAGTTCAAGACCAGCCTGAAGTACATAGTAAGACCCTTTCTTAAAAAAAAAAAAAAAGTTCACGGAAGTTCCACATACCTCTACTTACCTCAGTGACCAGAATTGGTCACGTGGCCATATCTACCTACAAAGAGGGCTGGGAAATGTAATGTTTTACTCAGTACCAGGTGTTCCTCCATAATTGGGCTACTGCTTTTAAGGGAAGTTTCTGTCATAAAATAGGAGGCTTTTTCAGCAAAATCTTAACATGGATGCCCATTTCCTAACACAGATGAGAGGGGAGCTTTCCTGCCTGAGGGGAGTGCCAGCTGCAGCGCTCTGCAGCCTCTGTTGGACCTCTCTGGGGCCTCTCTGATTCCAAGGCTCTGCTGAGCAGTTGGCCACACCATCCACCTGCTTCTTTCAGCCTCTCACTAGCTGCCCTAAAAGACTTAAAAAGGAAAAGCTTGATAACTCAAAAGTATTTTACCTTTGGATTTTATTGTAAATTTTCTTAGCATATTTACCTTTGTAATTGCTTTTTGAATTGTCTTCCATGTCTACTCCCAGTGTTAACGCCAGTGGTAACCAGTGTCAATAATTTGACTGTGTGGTTTATCGTATTTCCAGAGCAGAGAACTCCTTCATCAGATGTATATTTTTAAATACACATCAAGTTTTTTCTGTCACTAAGTATTTCCTAGTGAATAATTTAGCACTTGCATTCAGGAGGTGTGACCTTCATTTTCTCTGTTGCAGGTTTAATAGACTACAACTTCCACTGTTTCCGAAAAGCTATCCATGAGGTTTTTGAGGTGGGTGTGACTTCTCACAGGAGCTGTGGTCATCAGTCCAGCGCCCCCAGCCTGAAAGCATTGGCACACAATGGCACACCACGAAATGCCATCTAGTCAGACTCCCAGTGTGGGGCTTGTTGCCAGCTTACTCTTCACTCCAGGGTCAGATGCCACGTGCCACAGGACATGAGAGCTGCTGCTGGTGGGAACCTGTGCCTGTCCCACTAGAGGCGAGGGGGTAGCATTTTTGATTTGGATGAAAACCCCTTCAGCTGGTGGTGTACAACTGAAGCTGTTGTTTCTTTTTTTACACTTGATCTTAGCCAAAAGGCCGAGAAGCAATGTTGTTTCTTTTTTAAAAAAATGGCAAAGAAGAATTTTAGAGGCTGCCGAACTCAAGTAGTCTTTTTCTTCTTTTGGGTCCTACTTTAAGTAGTTGGAATATTTTGGACCTGGAGATAACAGCAGTTACCCATCCTTACCAGGTACTGTTGCCATCAATTCCAGCCGAAAGTAATGGACAAAATCAAATTTTTATATGCTTCCCTTAGGCTTTCATTTGAATAGTGTGCTTTGCTTAAATTCTAACACTGCCTCTCAGATCTCAGTTTTGGACATTGTACATTTAAGACCTTTTCAGTGCATTCGCTTGCTAACTCAGAAGACTCATCATCTGAGTGCAGCAAAAGAGATTTCTATATTTGTTACCGAGGAAATAGAATTCTATGCTGCATCGGGTAGAGAGCAAAGCTCAACAGTGGCTGCATCAGTTCCTTTGGAAGTGTTTCGGAAAAAAACTTTGAGATGGAGGAAAACTTTTGCACCTATGTTTTGGGTACCAGGGATGTTATGAATTCTTTTTCCTGCATTTGATAAATGATCATGCTTTGTGTAACAAAGGGAATTAAAAAAAAACTTTTTCCCACAGCCCCTTGTAGGGGAGAAACTCATTATGTCCTTGAAATATTGAATCTACTTTTCTTTAATCTTGATATCAGCCTCTACGTAGCTTTTATTCTAAACCGTCTACATTCTTTCAGAATTGCTGTTTGTTGACCCAAAGGCACTGGTGGGCTCCACTGGAGGTTAGAAAGAGCATGTGGTGCCACAATGTGTGTTGTCTTACATACTTGTCTCCAGTATTCTGACACCAAGTGTCAACTGTGGTACTTTTTTCACCTAGGGTATTGATTTGTAATTGTTTCTTTTTATTGATGGCTGATACCCTTCCCATTGATTTAAACTTACATATTATTTTTACTCCACGTGCCCGGTAGTCATATTCCAAAGCCACTGGACCACTTGAGTACATAAGTGCCACTGTTTAACGAAATCTGTATATTCAGGTCTGTAAACCGAACAGTGTGACTTGGAGTGCTTCCTGCAGATAACTCTGACTGTTGAGTATTTACATGGACCATGGTGATATCCAAAAGAAAAAATGCTTTTATATTTATAGATTTCATTGAACTATATATAAAATGGGTATCAATAAATGTATTTACTCCAAAATCAGTTTTCTGCTTACCTAAGGTATGAAAGGGTGGGGTGATGGAACATTGGAGTGTCTCACTCTATCATCTTTTCATCCATTTCCTTTTCTTTTGCTGCCTTATATAGCATTCCTTTTGTCTAAGGACTTGTCTTTTTAAAATTTATTTTATTTTATTTTTATTTTATTTTATTTTTTTTAGTACTTGTCTTGATGGAGGAATTCCCCTACAGGTATCTCCCCTGGCTCATTTCTGTTCTAGGGTAGGAGACGTAGGCCAGGTGAAAATGTTTTGGTTGTGTTTCATATCACCAGACCTCAGTGGCAGGGAGTGTCCAGGGCCTGGCATGACTGATGCATTATATTCAACCTAAGGAACCAGGAGATGAATGAAATAGAATAATATTAAAAAGATAGTACCTGCTCTAGCTTGTTTTTTGTTTTTTCCTGTTCTGAGATACTCATTATTGACCCTAAAGTGTCTGTAAAATTGTGTTTTATCTGTAACCACATAGTTGGGTCTGAGCTGATTGGAGAAAAGTATACAATATCCACGAGAAGGAGGTAGAGGTTGAAAAATCATAATTACACTACGTTAGAAGTTAAGTTTTAAAGCACTGAAATAAAAAACAGTTTGAAAAAACTTACTACACTATTTAGTCCTATATCCTTTTTCAGATATGGAAACCAGAGTCCTGAGAGGGTAAAGAACCCTATTGAGGATTATAGATAGACTCAGAAAGCCTCTTGTGATCATTGGCAGGGCTTTTGGGGCAGTGATTGGATCATGGGGCACTATACTCTTAGGTGGATTAGTCCACTGATAATGTTTACAACTGAATGCACGGCTCTGGGATCGGGTATATCTCCCTCCCTGGCTGCTCCTTTCTCCTTCTGCTTCCTGGCCTTCATGAGGTGAGCAGTTCTTTTTCCATCATGCCCCTCTGCCATGCCATCCTGTCTTGGCAGCCAGCCAACTATGGACTAAAATGTGAGCCAAAATAAACCTTTCCTCTCAAGTTATGGGTGTCAGGTAATTTGTCCCAGCAGCAAGGGAAATTAACCAAGACAATGGTCATATCCAAGCCAGGATACTGTCACGAGTGGAAAGGATGCAGCTCATAATTATGCCTGAGCAACAGACATAAGCTGGCACTGTTCCAGGTGAACCACAGGTAGCTAGACTTGTCACACCTGTAGTTGGAAGTGGGGCTGTACCCCAGCTCTGGCAGCCCTGCACTGCCTACCCCTCCACCTGCCTCATACCTCTTGGGAGGTTGAGGCAGAAGACTCACTTAAGCCCAGAAATTCAAGGCCAGCCTGGGCAGCAAAGCATCTTCGTGTGTGTGTGTTTGTGTGTGTGTGTGCTGGTTATTGGACCCAGGCCTTCACACTGAGCTACCTCTGCAGCCCTTTTTATTTTGAGACAGGATTTTACTAGGTCACTCAGTTATAATGCTTCTGCCTCAGCCTCCCAGAGTGCTGGGATAACAGGTGTGTGCCATCATGCTTGGCACAAGACCTCATCTTGAAAAAAGTGTAGGTACATAGGTACCCAATAGTTACTTTTTCTGCTGGTACTAAATATCAATTCAAGAAATGGTTACAGAGAAAAGTGAACAATGGTGAAATAGAATTAAATGGAAAGTGGAAAGGAGACTACTCAGGTAAAAGAGGAGTTATATAAAAGTTTCAAATGTTTATCTGAATTGTTTTTGCATCCCCGTGAATGTTTATCTGTATCTCAGAGCTTGGAAAGATGGCTAAAAGAACTTCAAAATCTTTGCATCACAGCATTTAAATATTTTACATGCTCTACCTATGTCCTTCACACGTTTTCTACATACACTTATACATGCATGCACATAATGATGGCCCAGGATGGAAAGCTGGAATTATTTGTGACTTGTGTTAATTTACCTTCTATCCCTGGGTTCTGTCCTTATACAGAGAAATGATTTAAGAGGATAAAATTGTGATAGTTATACATTTTGCTGGGTAAAAGTACTGTGTGACTGGTGGTTTTTGGTAAGACTCTATTTTCCTTTTTTGTTGTGCAAATGCTGAAAACTTGTCAGTGATTTACAAGAAATTACTAGTGGCCATTGTTACTGTTTTCCATGTAAGCTAGCAAAGTAACTAAACATTCTCCCCGTCTGTGAGGGCCCCTGAAGAACATAGTGTCTAAAGGGAATGTAGGCAGCAGTTGGGTCTAGCTAGAGCATGTGTATTAACGATGGCTTCTCTGAATTGCTCACCAAGGTTAGAGACTGAACGTAACATCCAAGAAGGACATAAGGAACTAGCAACAACTACCAGTTATTCTAGGTGATTTGTATTATCTCATGAAATCTTCACAGCACCTTGTGAGTTGGCACTACATTCCTATTACAAACAGGGAAGCTGAGGCACAAAGCTAAATGGTGGAGTAAGAATTGGAACCCACACAGTTTGCTTCTAGAATATGTGTGCGCATGCGTGTGTGTGAATACTGAAGACTGAACTCAGGGCCTTTGCACTGAGCTATATTCCCAGCCCTTTTTTATTTTTATTTTTTGATACAGGGTCTTACTAGGTCAAGTTTTCCAGGCTGGGCTCGAACTTGCACTCTTCCTGCCTCAGCCTTCTGGAGTGTTGGGATTACAGGCTTGCCTCTCAACACGCAGCTTAGAACCTCTGTCCTTAAACTACCACCTGATCTTGTTATCCTTGTGTGTTTTGCAGACAAAAAATTTTATAGTTAAAATTTGGAAACATGCATTCTGTCATCTCTTTTTGGAGATTACTTTGTACAATCAAATATTAAAGGTGTTGAGAAGACCTGCAATAAGGAAGCCTGTTTACCTTCATTCATATTACATGTTCTTATTGGATCCTTTGGAAATGCCTGTTCAAGCAGTGTGTTACGAATATACAGAAGGACATATTACATGTAGAACCATTTTCAGTAGAATTGGAAGTATGATTTTTTAAAATAACATTTTCCGTATGTCTTAATATAATCTTCAGCAAGCTGCTTCCTTGGCTAGTTCAGCATTTACCCTTGTTTATAATGGTGGTAGAAACTTAGCTGACTGTTGTGTAGCATTTCTTCACAGTACACCATTGTTGAGGAAAAGCATTCGGTCCTGTCAACTGCCTTGAGCCCAGACTTTTCACCCGTTGGCCGCGGCGTTCAGGTCCTTAGATTTTGGCCTCTAGGTGGCGGTATTGTATTGTATATTTCCAGCTTTCTGGCCTCTGCACGTTTGCTGTTCTGAAAGTTTGCATTGCCTGCATCACCCAAGCGGACACCTGACTTAGAGATCCAAAGACTTCCTGAAGTTATTTGCCCTGGGATAAAGTGCAGGACAGATTTGAGACTTTTTAAAAAAATTGGAAGTAAAGCAGTTTGCAGTTTTCTTCTTGATGGGTTGGATAGGATGAAGGTCGTAACATCATTTGCTTTATGAAGTATGAGTTACCAAGGGGCCTTAAGAAGATAGCTATGTCTGCATTTCTTTGCAAGTAGGGCTTCTTTACCCCTAAACCATCTCTTGTAGATACATGTGCCCTTAAAGAGTCCCATGGAAGGAAATGTCATATTTAAATTAAAATATTGGCTTTTATCACTTTTCTTAAATGAGATTTCTTGAAATTATTTCATACCTGGGCTTGAGACAAAAATACAGTGAAGGAAAAGGCTGTATCACATTATTCTTTCCTTGAGCACTCTATTTTTTCTAGAACTGTATCATTTTCCTACAATGCCCAGCTGTGACTTTGTTCTGCAAAGCAAATTTTAACATAAAAGGAAGTAGATACATCATGCATCCTTAGACCTGTTTAAAATATAGAAGAAACTGCAAAAGACAGTTATAGGGAGGAAGTAAATGGCAGGAAAGCAGTCCCCTTACTTCAAAGTGCCCATTATATCAACATATTCCTCTCAGGGTGTTGGAACTTCCACCTGAAGATTCATACACATTAAAATGAAATATTAGGCTGGATGTGGTGGTGAACTCTAATCCTAGCACTTGGGAGGCTGAGGCAGGAGGATCACTGCAAGTTCAAGGTCAGCCTGAACTGCAAAGTGAGACCCTGTCTCAAAAACAAAAACAAAACTATCCAAAAATCTAAAATGAGATCTCAATCTTCTGCATTGTTCTTTTTGCTTTTCTTGAGGTGCCAGGATACAGTTTTAATAAATTGTGCAATATCTTTTCCTTTTTTTCCATGTCCATTCTCCTGTCTATTCAAATTGGCCTGTACACTTTGTGTTCCAGGTAATGAGTCAGCTGAGATGGGAGTGTTAATTTCTTTGTGCAGACTGGGCCTATCTTATTCAAAAAGCAGGGTTAGAATTCTCTGTTCAGAGACATTGTTCCACAAAAGCCACTGGCTTTCCAGCTATGGAAGGTAAACTAAGCTTGTAGCCCTACCAACCTTTTCTCTGACATATGTCTTCACTTTGGAAATAAAACTGTTTGTCAGTTCCATTTGTGCAGGTTGCTTTTGTGCTGCATCATGGCTCTTCCTGGTTAGATGTTTAAGACCAAGCCCCTTGGCTCTGCCTCCTCATTGCCTGACCACTGTGGCAGTGGTGGAAATGGGGCAGTAGAGAAAGGCAGTTATGTGGAAGTCAGGAGTCGCAGGATCTCAGGAGAAGCATCCCCTGCCAACTAGGGTCATGAGGCTGGATGGGAGGGGAAGGAGACCAAGTTGGAGATCAGGCCAGCACACTTAGCGCAGGGCTGGCCAGAACTGGGCCTTAGGGAGGGCTGCAGTGAATCAGTGGAAGGAGGATAGCTGTGACAGAAGTTAGAATGATCCTTGCAGTGAGAAGCCAGGCAGAGAGGAAGGAGGGCTTACAGAGAAATGCAACACAGACCTCAAGGATAAGAACAAGTGAGAGATCTTAATTTTGCCTAGGAATGTTGGTGATCTTGAAAGATGTTCCAACTAAAGATTCATACACATTCATAGCCACTTCATAGCTCTTTAAGTCCCTATGCTTCTCTCCCAAAGTACCATTAAATTC